GGGGGGGGGATTGTGGAACCCAAAATGTTAAAGGACATCACTGACTAGTACTAATATTAATATCCGGCCTCCTCTGCCACGACGCAATATATAAAAAAATCTCTCGTCTTCAGAAAGCTACGTTATCACAGCTAATCACTGACAAACAGATAAAACTCAGCTGCTTTGAGTAATATCTTGCCATCTATTGGTATAAGCAGAAATATGTTTTCATTCTAGATTTTCCCTGTAAAGAGGGGTATTTTTTATCCCTTCAAAACGAGAAATTCTTACAAACGAATGACAATCTGAGAAAATCTATCACAAGAGGGAGGACCCCCAGAACTCTGTTGCGCTATTCATCACACAGGTACAAGTTGGTGCATCACCTGTCATCAACATCGTCTTGAAGACGAGTCATTTTGGTGTGGACGTTTTCCAGTGTCCGACGCAATTCACTTTTCATTATCTTTGTGGTTTCACATGTTTTATCATTATCTTTCTCTGGAGTTCTGTCGATTCGACGATGATAAGATATAATCGGAGGAGATGCCAGCTCTACATCGGCCATTTTGACTCCGTGGTAAACTAATAATTGCATCATGGGAGATTAACAGGTTCGTTCGTTTCAGTAACCTTATAAGGTGCGTTGCAACGTGCGTTCGATTCCACCAACTTAAAATTGTATTATGATTATTGCATTTACTCATGTTATTGGCAAAAACTGTATGTTGCTACAACATAAAATCGTTTACACTTAAAGACTCGGACCTTAAGGTTCCGGGTACATGGAGTTAAAACAGTTATATTGTATATACATTATGCATGTATATTGTATAATACAGAGAGGTTTACCACTAAACGTCGGGTTTATACGCCTCTAAGTTATTTACAATTTATACTATATTTCAACAGTACAGAAATATTTCCGCAAAGTTACCAATGCAAATTAATTGCATGTCATCCCATATTTCAATATACATGTAAATGTAAATAAAAACTTAGAACTAATTCAGCTAAAGTTATTCTACAAAATACTGCATCTTTAATTTTCTGCACTCTTAAGATATGTTATTACAAATGTAAAGGCTTGCGGCTAGCTTATTGATTAGTTTCAGGTATAATCTGACCAATCGCAAGGGTGATACCTGTCAATAGAAGATAAATATCGTCATAATCAGAGGCATTAGAAATGATCAGACAAGTCTAACTTGTATCACCTCCAAGGTGTCGTCAGTAAAGCATCCGATTTCGTCATGAACTATTCCAGGGATGCAGAGATGACACGTGTATGAACAGTGGAACCCTCGAATTTCGAATATTAACTAATATATAATTCAAAAGAAATACATCCACACTAAATACTACTTATTCACCTCTTTTTAAACTTATTTTATTCTAAGGTAAAATGCAAATAACACTAACACTATTGAATAACTATTTATGCTATGTTCCTAGACATAGTTATCATTATTGGCGGATAGCAAATATATAAAGAAAAAACAATCTATTCAAAATGTACAGAAGGGAAAATGTCTAGCAACATATGGAGCGTTGAAATGAGTGACCATTGTGTTTCCGAGCCTTTCAGGATCGAGAAATTGCCGACCAAACGGATCTGAGCAAAATTAAAAACCAATGTGCTTTATGTTGTATAACATCGATTATTCTTAACCTTTACCTGAGAATTCAGATTACAATCATTGCCGTCATTAAACGACGCCATTAGTTGCACAGATTCGGTGCCCGTCTTTTTATAGATCATACATATACAGCATACATATACATGTAGAAGGGTCCTCGATCAACACAAATACCAGTGACGTATATGCAGCATACGTCCTATACGACCAGTGACGTATACAACATACGTCATGTACGACCAGTGACGTCAACAAAATAGGTCCTGTACGACCAGTGACGTATACAACATACGTCCTGTACGACCAGTGACGTCAACAAAATACGTCCTGTACGACCAGTGACGTAAACAACATATGCCTGTACGACCAGTGACGTAAACAACATACGCACGTCATGTACGACCAGTGACGTATACAAAATGCGTCCTGTACGACCAGTGACGTGTACAAAATACGTCAGGTAGGACCAGTGACGTAAACAACAAACGTCCTGTACGACCAGTGACGTATATACAACATACGTCCTGTACAACCAGTGACGTAAACAACATACGCCATGTACGGCCAGTGACGTCAACAAAATACGTCCTGTACGACCAGTGACGTATACAACATACGTCCTGTACAACCAGTGACGTAAACAACATACGCCATGTACGACCAGTGACGTCAACAAAATACGTCATGTACCAGTGACGTATACAACATACGTCCTGTACGACCAGTGACGTCAACAAAATACGTCCTGTACAACCAGTGACGTAAACAACAAACGTCCTGTACGACCAGTGACGTACACAACATATGTTCTGTACGGCCAGTGACGTATACAAAATACGTCCAGTACGACCAGTGACGTATGCAACTTATGTTCTGTACGACCAGTGACGTAAACAACAAACATCCTGTAGGACTAGTGACGTATACACATATGTTCTGTTCGGCCAGGGACGTATAACACATACATCCTGTACGACCAGTAACGTATGCAACATACGATCTGTTCGACCAATGACGCATACAACATACGATCTGTTCGACCAATGACGTATACAACATACGATCTGTTCGACCAATGACGTTTCAGGGGCTACATGAGTCTAGTGGTAGGACACCGGGCTCGTGACCGAAGGGTTGCGGGTTCGAGTCACGTCACGGCACTGTGTTGTATCTATGAACAAGATACTTCGCTTGTTCCAGTCTACTCAGCTGTAAACTAGTACGTGGTTGGACAGGGATGTAATTGTTGAATGCAAGCTGTGAGCGCATACATGGCAGCACCGACTGTATGCTCCCCAGAGAGTTGAGAGAGACATTTGCTGGTTGCAAAGGCCCTATAACCACGGATACTAATTTGTGAACCGCTTTGATAAAGTGGTATATAAGAACTTCGAATTGTTATTATTATTATTACATACCAAGGCCAGGTGAAGTGGTGCTTGGGTATAGCTGGCGGCTGTAGTGTTACCGACAAAGTATACTCATACACCAACAGCATGATATACTCTGCATCATTACAAATAGCATTCTCGTATATAACAATCGTAATACATGGAAGCGCAACAGACTTTTTACATATATATAGTAATGAAAGCTGTTATTAACAAAAACACGATATTATTTTCGATTGAATATTAATATTAAATTAGTATATACTCACCGACACTTTCTCCAACACTAAGACCAATTTATGTCCGGTTATTTGTACTATTGTACCCGATACCCTAATTTTGCCGGTGTGAATTCAATCACACGCGAGACGTAGCCATTCGTGAATACGCTTTATTTTGTTGCTCAAATATATTGTATATGTTTACCGATTCAATGAACGTTTAATTAAATCCTTAAGTCCTGTCCCCTTATTCTACTTTACTTCTGACAATAGAACAAATCTGAAAGCATTGTGGTACCTGTGTTTGGAATATTTAAGCCATTTTACATAATGTCCCTTTAAGGTTTATCCTATTAACAAATCTATACCATTATACACGCCGAGATTTTCTTATCGTTAACTAAAGAACTTAACGTTATATACCTGTCGTCAAAACCTATTGTAGTTTTAAAGGCGGATCTGTGCAGTGCTGAAATGTTATGTTAGTATAGACTGATAAAGGTGTAAATCACGTGTGTAAACTGGCCCACCTTTATACAGCTGACCAGTCAACCACGATACACAATAGTAGCATATGGGAACATCAAGGAACTTTATACGTAACTAATGCAAAAATAGTGTTGATGTATCGGAATATCTAACACCGGTAAAAGTGTGGATACACCTTTCTCCCATCCTTCAGCCGAGAACGGTCAGCTAGTTACCCCTAGGGGGAGATAGCATCGTGCCGATTAGCACGTGTTCAATTGTGACGTCATTGAAATGTGTCACCGGTAATTGTGACGTCATCAAAAGTGAATGACGATATATCAAACAGACTACTGTCGGTGGAGTTGTGACTGAAATAATAGGGTGGGAGAAAAATAATCATCCCCTGCCTTGAGGGTATAACAGAGAAATATCCAACCCTCGGGGTGATTTTTTTGTTGTATAACCCTCGGCAGAGCCTCGGGTTAGACAACCAAAAAGCATCATCCCTCGGGTTGGAGATTTCTCTGTCACACCTTCAAGGTAGGGGAAGATTCTATTAGTCCAGGGTAAGAGAATGGTTATAGTACTTGTCTGTTTCTTTGGTGTCATGAAAAAGAGCGGGTTTCTACAAAATCTGGATTTGTTTTCTTCCCAATGTCAACACCGTTTGGTGTCCTAGTATCTTATCTCTAACGATGAGAATCCTGCAGCTGTATTTATTCATTCACAATGATAAAGTACGTGCTAGTCTCGTTATCGCTCTGAAAAATATCATTAACCACATTTAAGCAATATCCATAGATTTTTGGTCCGCAATTTTCAGGTTATGTTTTATTGCTATTTATCTGTTTCTGTAAATATGTAAACCTGAACAAATTTCCCTGCCTTATATTTTATTTTATTTTCACTCTTGCTAGCCCGGATGGCAGCGCGTAGAGTACCTTTATATGGGAGGAAACCGGAGTATCCAGACAAAACCCATATGGTCGGGCAGGTGACTCAATACCTTTTCAAATCAGGCCCGGAAATCGACCCGGCCGTCTTCGTGAAAGGCGGGTGCGCTATCCACTGCGACATCCGATATGCGACCAACCGTCTCTGTATACATCAGTTATATTTATCTACTTTCATAATTCACTCATCTTATTCTATCTACAAATAGAAGACGAAACGTGCAGTTCTCTGACATATCACCTTAGTTACTTCCAAAAACATAGCCCGAGTTTCCTCTGGCCCACACACCAGACTTAGACATTTTGACAGATAGATGTCTGGTGTGCATCATTTTGTCAAAATGTCCAAGTCTGGAGTCAGGGCCAGAGGAAACTCGGGCTACCAAAAACCCACCACCAGTCCGATACCATACCAAAGGACTTACTTTCTTCATAAGGTCACTATCCAAGACAGCTCAATCAATCAATCATCAATCAACGGCGAAACATTCGACAGATATTTAAAACAAACTTTATTTATTTTACAACAATTATGAAAAAGTTATTCAATTTATATTACTCGCTCGTGTTGGCCCGGATGTTAGCGCGGGAGGGGGTGTCTTAATGTGGGAGGAAACTGCAGTACCCCGAGAAAGCCGACGTGGTCGGGCAGGTGACCCCATACTTTCATGTCCGATCGGGAATCGAACCCCAGCCGCCTTGGTGTAAGGCGAGTGCGTCATCCCCTGCGCCATCCGACTACCCGACAGATATTTGAGGGTACTTGTCCACACTTCAGTCCTGATAAACTTAATAAAAACGACGATTTGTTCTAAAAAGATGTAACTTCACTAGATTTATTTTTGAATACTTGAATAATATTATATGGGATGGTTGTTCAATTAACGAAATTGAGAGA